TCCAGCTCATTGGGCTGAGTACAGTACTCCCCACATTCTAAAGGTTTTCAGTTTCGCGAAAGGTCTTATGCATCTGCTAATTTCTTTTGCAACTCACCAACTGCTTCTGCAACACCCTTGTGCTTATCGACTAGTTATGGGAGTCCACTAGCTAACCATGTCACTTTTGTCTTCCAATTCACCAGTCAATTTTGCCATATTTGAGGTATGTTTAATAATGGCAGCTTGGATATCTTTTAGGGATTCTTGCAGTTTTCAAAGTAACTTAAAATAACTAAAGAAAGAAGAGATAACACCATACTTAAACCATGATCTAACTTTTTGTGAAAAATCTTGTCTTCAAAGATATGATGAAAGATGTATATTTACCACAACTTCATTTTTCTTTTTATAGACAGATTTATAAAGATACTCTCTTAAATCTCTCCCTTCAGCCTCTTGAACAGCAGTGCTTGGTGCCAATCTACCTGTTGAATTAGTTTACCCAAATCTTTTTCCCATTGCTGCCTGTATGGGAGTTCCTCGCTGTCTCCCAGGGCCATAAGATTAGTGAGCAGAGTGATAGAGTTTTGGCGTTTGGTAATTTCCCCATGCATTTCAGGACAAAGGGTGGGACTGGATGTTTATCCGTAGCTTTAAGTTTGCATTCATGCAATATATTCTTAAGTCGTAGATAAGTGAATAATTCCCTGGGTGGTAGGGAGTACACCCTTTGGGTTTTATGCCTGCACTGTTATATAGGGACTCTACCGTTAGGGCGCCGCCCTTTATGGTCTGTAATGGCGCTGCATGTAGTAGGTCATTACTGACCATGAGCTTTGGGATGGCCTGCTTCCAAATGCGGAGTAGAGTTTTGTGGATCATAGCATATTGTTGTTCTTTTTAGTTAGTACGGAGCCTGCCCATAGGGCATGTTCTACCGTGCCTCGGGCCAAACATGCATTTTCCAATGCAAGCCATACTGGGGGGGAAATACTCTTAAGCACTGATACGCCCTGTGCGAGCAGTGCTGCCTTATAGTAAAGTTTTATACTGGGTATGCCCAGGCCGCCCTTTGTGAACGGGCGCCATAATAGGTTTTGTGATATTCGTGGTGGTTTTCTTTTCCAAATGTGTGCATTGATGAGTGATTGGAATTTTTTCAATATGGAGTTTGGCAGTGCTATGGGAATTGTTCTAAAGAGGTACAGAATGTGTGGCAAGATCATAATTTTTACAGTATTAATGCGGCCTAACCATGATGATCCCTTTTCTTCCCATGCTTTAAGCTGCGTATCCAAACTATGTATGAGAGATATGCGATTTTCTTTCACTAATAGGTCGTGTGAGGTCGGGAGTTTTATTCCGAGGTACAATATTGCCGTCGTGCGCCAATCAGTACAGTAGGTGGAATGTAGTTGTACAGTTTCTGCTTGTTCTGGAGAGACCATGCTGAGCAGCATGGGCTTGAGGCGCGTTGCTAATAATTTAGGGTAAAGCTTTGTGTCTGCATTTAATAGTGAGATAGGTCGGAAATTGGCACATTCTGTGGGTGCCTTGCCAGGATTGGGTAGTGTAATTATATATGCTAATAACATCTCCTCTGCTATGGTCCCTGAGTCCTTAAAGTAATTGAATAGCCTAGTGAAGTGCGGTGTAAGTTGTGCTTCAAACATTGTGTAAAAACAGTTCGAGAATCCATCCGTACCCGGGGCTTTGTGTTTGGGGAGTTTATGGATCACAGTCCGTATTTCATCTACTGTGAACGGTGCCAGTAAGGATTGGCGTTGTTGGCTAGACAGTTGTGGTAGGTCTACGTCCTGCAGGAAAGTGGTGATTTCATCATGATTGGGTTGGTACGTGCCACGATCTTGTCTTAAGTTATAAAGTTTGTTGTAGAAGGAGGCGAGCTCTTCTACCATGTCTTGTGGATTGTTTAGCTTGGTGTTGTTAGCGGACGTTATATAAGGCAATTTAGTCTGTAGGTATTGGGATTTCAATTTCCTTGCAAGCATTTTGCCTGCTTTGTTACCTTGCACATAGTGGAACAGTTTAAGTTTTCTAAGTTGTCTCTCCATATCTGTTAGGTATATCGACTGAAGGTCAGTTTTGATTCTGTTGATCTGTTTCATCAGTCTTTTGGAGGGGTTCATTTTGTTTTTAGATTCTCTTTCGTCTAGCTCTATTAACAGTCATTTTCTATCCTCATTTACTTTTTTTTGAGGGCTGATCCCGCCTGAGTGAGGAGTCCCCTCACCACCGCCTTAAGGGCCAGCCATTGTGTGCTAATGTGGGAGGTGTCATGCGCATTGTCGTTATATAACACTTGGATTGCTGTGCGTAATGTGGCTGCTAGGTCGGTCTCACTTAATATAGATTAATTGAGTCGCCATGTACTCCTGCCCCTTGCAGGGTAGAGTGTTCTAAAGGAGATAGTGATTGGAGCGTGATCAGACCATGTCCTATTTCCAATTGTCACGTCAGCTATATTCGTCAGTGTCAGTTTATCAACTATGCACATATCTATGTGCGTGTAGAAACGGTGTATGGGAGAGAAGTAGATGTCATCTTTACCGGATGGGTATAGGCTCATGTATCAAAGAGGTTGTGAGTAAGTAGAAGTGTGGAGAGTTTGCAACTAAGGGATATGGTCTGCTGGCTTGGGTGTTTCCAATTGGCCCTTTGTATGTAAAATTCAGGGTCCAATGTACTGTTAAAATCTCCACATATGATGGGATGACCCTTTCGCAGTTTGGCTATCTTATTTAGTGCCCTAGTCGGAAAGGCAGGTTGGGATTCGTTTGGTGCATAGATCAAGGCTACTGTGACCTGTATCCAATTCAGTGTGCCCACTACGATTAGCAGTCTACCCATGGCATCTTTATACACAGTGTTCTGTTGAAATACCCAACCTGAGTGGAACATTATGGACACCCCTTTGGACTTATGTGGGGATAGGGCATGGAATATTTGAGGGTATTGAGCCGGTTTGAAGGCGGAGGGGGGGGGGAGTTCCTTATGCATAAATGGGTTTCTTGTAGGCAAACTATAGCTACCTTTGATTTGTGAATCTCTCGCAATGCTGAGTGTCGCTTAAATGGGCTGTTCAGGCCATTAACGTTCATTAAAAAACATTTAAATTGGTGGGCCATAGTGAGGACACATAGGACATGCTGTGAGTGTTTGTCTATATAATGCCTGGGAAGCTGTGGTGAAGCCACCACTGGCTGCTGCCTGTTGGAGTGTCATCTGTAGTTTAGGGGGGATGAGTGGCCTTCTAGTGGCCTGCGAGTCGGCTATTACCTGGGATAGAGGGAGGGGGATAAGCTGGATTAACACATAAGAATTTAAAGAAGGTATATACAAACACTCTCAAGACGGAGAGTGAACCGAGGGATGCAATGGGGAGCTCCGGCGCTCACCTACCATTGTACATCCCATGGTTAGGTTGCGTGGAGCAGGCCTCGCTCCGGAGCCAGAGTGTGTGCTATCATCTTGCGGTCTTGCACATACTCTAAAACTTGTTTCTGGGGGTGTGGAATCTTACGGGGTCATATGGTCAACTGATGGGTGGGCATATGTGCCCGGAACTTTACTACGGTTGCTGTTTATCACTTGGGGGGCTACACACCAATATCTCCATTCGCCTGTTATAGTAACACCTTGTCACCCTCTTTTTTTTTTACATATCAATATTGTGTCTCTTCCCTGTCCTTTGTTAGCTAATCTAAGCTTTCCTCCTTGCTCTGTTTTAGTGCACTTGCGCCTTGGTCGGCACCTGTTGGCCTAAACCTACCATCAGACCTAGTGGGTTGTGTGCTGTGACGTAGTATAGGGAGTGCTTGAACAATGGCCAAAGAACAGGTCTGCTCTAGGCAGTGGCTTCTGGGTATTCGTTGGTCACCTGGAGGTTAAATCTTGGTGCACTTCCCTAATCTGTGTTGGGCCTCTGCCATGTATCTGGCTGTTACATATGCGGCCTGTGGCTGTTAGATTGTTCTATACAAACCCAGCAGGGTTTAGAGACATAGACTAAGGGTGGTGAGAGCCAACTGCATATATAGTCCTCAGGAGCCTTACGTAAGGCGGGTGCTCCAATGTAAGCAGTGCGGTCACCATTGCCGCCCAGTAAGACTTGTGTGCAATGGGTTTGAGTCTGTTACAGGCCCTCTCAGGGGGGATGGCAATATTAAATCGGGCAAGTGTGGCATTTCTATTCCGTCTTAATAGTGTGAACATGTGTCATGCATTGTAACAATACAATATACCCGTCCTGGAGTCATTGACCCAGCCCTCTTGCGGTGGCCGAACAGATCTGTACATGGATCAACCATTCGAATGAGGGAGGTGCTGTGTGGGGTGGAAGAACCTGCATAGCGTTCCATGTGAGCAGTTTTTGTGGAAAGCTTCCATCAAGTGTATCTCAGTTGCCCCATATGTTGTGAGTCCCTTAAGGAGTTGTTACTGTGATGAATGTCACGCCATTTTCTATTCCGGTGGGAATCGTTTTGGAGCGGTTGCAGGTGTAGAGGTGGATCCTTGTGCATTCCAGAGGCCCCATTCCGTTAGTGTATCAAGGCCACTTACAGGGTCTGTAATGACGGTCATCTTGCCATTCCGCCATATCAATATTTTTGTAGGGAATCCCCATCGGTATGCTATTTTGTGGTTGCGCAGGGTTTTAGTGATGGTGGAGAATTCCCTTCTGCGAGCCATTGTTAAAGCTGACAAGTCGGCAAAGAGGGATATCCCTTCATAGGGTGTCGGCAGTGTCTGGCTGCTGTAAGGAGCGTCTCTTTCGATTTGAAGTGGTGAAAGCGGGCTGTTATGTCACATGGTGTGTCCGCTGTGAAGCGGGGGGGGTCTCGATAAGCGATGCGCTCTAGCTCCCAGGCAGTGTCACTTAAGTTTTCATTTGGTAAGGAGTCTGTTATGCCCCTGAATCTCACGTTATTTCTCTGTGTCCGGTCTTCCACATCAGCAAGTTTGTGCCATAGTTTGGCGTTGTCGTCCTCCAGGGTTTAGAGTCGGTCATAGCGTTGTGGGCTGTGGAGAGGTCCTCTGTTTTTTTTTTCTAGGTGATCCGTGCTGTCCCCGAGTTCTGATATTTCTTGGTGAATGCTGGACGTGATCATGGTAGCCCTCAGGTCCTGGAGTATTTGTTTCAAGTAGTCTTTGGTGATATGGTCGTCCTCCGTACTCCTTTGTGAAAGGATTGGCTCCATAGAGTCTTCCCCGTCCTGGGAAAGAACTCCGGCGTCGGCGCCATCTTGGGCCTGTTTTTGCCGGTCTTTCTTACTGGACCGTAGCAGGTCTGTGATCTTCGTTTGTTTCGAGGGAGACATATTGTCGCTTCTGTGGGGTCTCCTTCGTTTTCTTTTCATTAATTTTGCTAAAGAAGTTTTTATATCTTTTATGAATGGATTCAAAAAAATATTTAATACTGAGGACTTAGAGATTGAGAGGACTGAGACCAACATATTTTAGAGATACTATATGATCTGGTATCTAATTTTTCAAAGTAGCAACCAATCTGAAGCTCGTAATTTTAAACATAGAGTGTAGTGAGCAAGCATTGCTGCTTCATGTTATTGATATATAGCTGGAAACTCCACCATCTTTCTTATGTATAATTAGGATATTGTGTGCAATCCTTGGCTTTTTACACATCCAAATATAATCTCTAAATAATATGGCAAATGTATCTAATATCTTATGTTCTACTCTTAGCGGGATAGTTCTAAATAAGTATATGATTATTGGTAGAAAATACGCATTAATAACATTATTACGACCCATCCACGATATCTCCATGAGAGGAAAGATATTACGAAAGGGTATTTATCATTTCTATATAATTAAATTCCACCATGTTAGTGATATTCTAACTCGTAGATAAGCTATATGGGTTTTAATCCAATCAAATTTGAATTGAGTTTTCAAAAGAGCCAAATCTTATTTAGTGGGAAATTTAGTTAAAATTAAAAATTTTTGAATGTTAATTTTATAGTTAGAAAATGTTAAAATTATATTAATTAGAGCAAGTAATTCCCTGACTGAGTCAATTATATTCGACATAGACATAAAAACATCATCTGCATAAAAAGTTATATTGCAAATCCGGTTACCAATCTCAATTCCCTGAATTTTCTAATTTTGTCTAATTAATACAGCTAGAGGTTCTATAGAGAGTATGTAGAGCACGGGTGCCAAAGGGCAACCCTGACGGATACCACTGGTAATGGTAAACCAATTTGACTCAAATAATGGGCCTACTACTTTAGCTGTGGGAGTAGAGTACAGGAACATAATGTTGTCTTTAGTAGAGGCGACTAAGCCAAAGCTCTCTTAAACCAGATCTAAGTACTTCCAACTAACTCTATCAAATGCCTTTTCAGCAACTAGGGCTAAAAAGGCTACCACAGGTTTTTTTTAATGTTTGTTTTATGGATAATATTTAGTATTTTACGAGCAATCATCCACAGGGTTTCCATTCATGACTAACCCTGACTGCTCTTTATGTATAACTTGAGTAATTATTGGTTTATTATAAGTCGATAAGCCATAATCTTTAAAACCATTTTTACATCTACATTGATTAGTGATATAGGTCTATAATTGGATGTTGACGCTGATCCTTCCCCGGCTTTAGGATTGGAGATATGGTGGCTTGGAGCATTTTGCAAGGTATGCATTTAGTTGGAAACATCTTAGAAAGTAGTGGTATCACAACATTTTGAAATTTTTTAAAGAATACTGCCGAATAACAATCAGGTCCAGGTGCTTTAAATGGCTTTAACTTACAGATACAATTTTTAATTTCTGTCTCTGAAAAGGGTGTATTCAGATTATGTAAATTTTCTTCGGAATTTTAAGACCATCCAAAGGCTTGAAAGGAGTTGCGATGTCCATTATATTAGGTCCCAGGACTGGACTGGGGAAAAATTCGGCCCAGGCATTTTTAAATCACAGCGGGCACTGGGAAGGGGGCGGGCCAGAGTGTCCAATGTTCAGAGTGAGCCCTGCTGAAGAGCTATTGCACGAAAAAAGGCCCTTTATTTGTTTTATGCACAGCAAGCAAATTTATTAACATGCTTGCGCTGTGTTTGCTTGTGACATCTCTCCAGTGTCTCCATAAGTGGGATACCAGAGGACAAATAGTGTAAGGAAAGCATATTCTACATGTGTTTAGATCCTGCTTGTGAGATTGAGTGTGTGTAGAGTTAGTTTATTGTGGTGTGGAGTTTTGTGTAAATGTCGGTTTGATTTGTGTTGTGTTGTGTTGCGTTTGTGGTGTAATATGTATGGCTAGGGGCTGTAGAGAGTGAAAGTATATGTGATGTAGCGAGTGTGTGCATAGGGGCTGTAGTGCATGTAGATTATGTAGTGTGTGTAAGGGTTGTAAAGTGTGTGTGTTTAGGGAAAGTAGGGTGTTTTTGCTTACAGGAGATCTAGTGTATTCGTGGGGGATCCAGAGTGTGTATGTCTTTAATGTAGTGTGTGTAGGTGGTGCATTGTGTGCCTGTAGGAGACCTATTGTGTGCGTAGGGGATCTAGTGTGTGTGGGGAACCCAGAGTGTGCATAGGAGATTTAGTGTGTGTGTGTGTAGAGGATTCAGAGTGTGTATAGGGATTCTGGTGTGTAGGTATGTAGAGGATCTAGGGTGTGTGTCTAAGGGATGCAGTGTGTGTGTATAAGAGATGTAGTGTGTGTGTCTAGAATGTAATGTGTGTAGGGGTGCAGGATGTGCGTGTAAAGTGTGCAGTGTGTGAGGGTGCACTTTGTGTGTGGAGGGTGCACTGTGTGTGTGTGTGTGTGTGTGTGTGTGAAGGGTGCACGGTGTGTGAGGCATGCAGGGTGTGTGTTTGAGGGGTGCAGTGAGTGTGTGAAGGGTGCAGTGCGTATGTGTTTGTGTGAGGGGTGCTGTGTGCATGTGTGAGGGTTGCTGTGTGTGTGTGTGTGAGGGGTGCCGTGTGTGTTGGGGTGCAGTGTGTGGTGTGTGAAGGGTGCATTGTGTGTGTGTGTGAGGGTGCACGGTGAGTGAGTAATTAGGACTTCTGTTAATTTATCCTTTTTTGTTTTTATTTGTTGGTGGTGTAAATAATTTGTTTGTTATCTAATTTTTTTGTATGAACTGTGACTATTTTTGTTCATAATAAGTATCATTTTATTAAAGGACCACTATAGGCACCCAGACCACTTCATCTTAATGAAGTGGTCTAGGTGCCTGGTCCATCTAGGATTAACCCTTTTTGCTGTAAACATAGCAGTTTCACTGACAGCCGCTAGAGGCGCTTCCGCGCTTCTCACTGTGAAAATCACAGTGAAAAGACGCTGACGTCCATAGGAAAGCATTGAGAATGCTTTCCTATGAGACTGGCTGAATGCGCGCGCAGCTCTTGCTGCGCGTGCGCATTCAGACGGTGACGTCAGAAGAGGGAGGAGAGTCCCCAGCGCCGAGGGAGCCCGGCGCTGGAAAAAAAGGTAAGTGATTAACCCCTTCCTCCCCCTTCAGCGCCACGGGAGTGGGACCCTGAGGGTGGGGGCACCCTCAGGGCACTATAGTGCTAGGAAAACGTTTTCCTGGCACTATGGTGGTCCTTTAAGTTCTGCCTTTGTCCGGTAAAGGATCACTTTACCTGAAGAGACCAGTTAGTGTTTTGAAATTGCATAGATATTTTGCTTAATTGTATTTGGTGGGTTTTTATTCTAATTTACCTGTGAGACCAAGGCACCCAATTTATAAATTGTTTTTTGTGAAAGTGTAACAATACGTATAACTTTAAACAACAAAATTAGTTAGTGTATTAGGGTTGTTAACTTTAAATTGCCGTATATACACGAGTATAAGTCGAGTTTTTCAGCACATTTTTTGTGCTGAAAAACCCCCACTCAACTTATACTCGAGTCAATGTCTGTATTATGGCAACTTACATTGCCATAATACAGACCAGGACCGCCGGGCTCCTTATAAGCCGGGCGGTCCTGTTGGGGGCTGGCAGAGAGCTGTTACTTACCTTTCCTGCAGTTCCTGTGAGCTCCCTTCTCCTGCAGCTCCTGTCAGCTCCCTTCTCCTCTACTGTAAGTCTTGCGAGAGCCGCGGGGTCAGAGCGTTGCCACGGGTTACCGTGGCAATGCTCCACGCAGTGGAGGAGAAGGGAGCTGACCAGCATGCAGGAGAAGGGAGCTGAAAGGAGCTGCAGGAAAGGTAAGTAACAGCTCTATGCCAGCCCCCCTCCTACACACACACACTGGACCACCAGGGAATGAGAGCCCCCCACCCTGGCCAGCTAACAAGCAGGGAGGGGGGACGAAAAAATAATTAAATAAATTAAAAAATTTTAAAAAAATATTAATAATATAAAAAATAAATAAATAATAATTTAAAAAAATAATAAAATGCCCACCCCCCACCAAGGCTCTGCATCACATACACAAACACACTCTGCATCACACACACACACTGCACTTATACACACACACACTACATTCATAAACACACACACGCACACACTGCATTTATACACACACACACTGCATTCATACACACACACACACACTGCATTCATACACACACACAGACACTGCACTCACACACACACACACTGCACTCATACACACACTGCACTCATACATACACACACACACACATTGCATTCATACACACACACACTGCACTCATACACACACTGCACTCATACACACACTGCACTCATACACACACACTGCATTCATACACACACACACACTGTATTCATACACACACACACACACACACACACTGCATTCATTATATACACACACTGTAAATAAATATTCAATTAATATAATTTTTTGAAGATCTAATTTTATTTAGAAATTTACTAGTAGCTGCTGCATTTCCCACCATAGTCTTATACTCGAGTCAATATGTTTTCCCAGTTTTTTGGGGTAAAATTAGGGGTCTCGACTTATATTCGGGTCGACTTATACTCGAGTATATATGGTAGTTGATTGTGGTTTGGTGAAGAGAAAGAAGAAAAGAGAGCAAGCACAGTCAAGTATAATCTACACGTACACATGCAGAAACTAGGATAAGTATTTAAAATTTAAATAACTAAGAAAAAAAAATATTTTATTTTTGTAAAGTATAGAATTAAAGCAGAACTCTGCAACTCCAGCAACTCTGGAGCTCATGCAGTCAGATTGTGTAGATAATAAGAAAGAAAGAGAAAAACACACTAGTTTTCTATACTGAAAAAAACAAACAAAAGCATTTAACAGCACATGACAGAATTATTCCATCATGTATGTCCTTCCCTTAAGGACCATTCCTTGTGTGTTTTTCCAGCAGAGGCTCTATTC